AATTGGAGCACTAATTTTTGGGTACCACTAAACTACACAATGGAGATTTTTTGGCGCAACGGGCGCAACGGAGATATTTTTTTTAGAAAACCCGGAACAGCGCTTTTTTAGGTCAGTTGGTTATATCTAAGCCTCTAAAATGATTGTTTCATGTATGTATAGACAGACAGATAGAAGAAAGACAGATAGATAGATTTAAAAATTTAATTACTGCCCTGTCACCTGGCACTTCTGTGGAGGAAAGTACACAAAAAAAAACTAGAGAAAATTCAAGAAAGAGCATTAAGATTCATTTATGATGACTATCAATCAGACTATGACTCACTTTTAATAAAATCTAAACAACCAAATTTAAAATTAAGACGAATCAGAACTATAGCCCTCGAAATTCATAAAATTATTCATAAACAAGGACCAACATACTTACATGATCTTGTTAATATAACAACTCATTCTTTTAATTTTAGGTATAAAAATGTAGCCATTATCCCTCAGGTAAGAACCACCAGTTATGGCAGCAACTCTTTTCGTTCCTATGCACCTAAACTATGGAATTCACACTTCCTCAACACCTCAGAATGGCAAGTGAATTATGACCAATTTAAAAGTTTAAATTGGTGCATGGAATGGAGAGAGTTGCTCATGTACTTTCTGTCAATAAACCTGCATTATAGTTTAGCTCCATCTTCAGTTTTGTTTCTTGCCTGCTTTCTTTTGTTTTGCTGATTACTTACATGTATCTGTTTATTTCACATTTGGCTTAAATTTTGTTAATATTCTCAACATAATGTCTATGTACATGTATTATTTTTCCAGTGTGCTTGAATTTTGTTTGCTTATTGTCAGCTTATTCCGAAGTTTGCTTATTGAGGATGCTGCTGATCACTTCTTGCAAATTTTGAATTGGGGATTTTTTATTTATAAAACCTAATTAGTGTAATCCTTTTCATTTTCAATATTTTTTCTCCTTTCTTTTATAACAGTCCAGGCAAGGCCTGGGTCAAGATCAGCAGAATCCACCCACTTTTAATGTAATCTTATTTTATGTATGTTCTAATATGTTCCGCATTTTTATCTAGATATATATTATTTTATTCACTTATGATACAGTAATTAAATGTTATCCTTAGCATATCATTACTATTTATTAATTATTATTATTACTTTAAATTATTACATTTAGTGTCTACATCCCACATTATAGTAATTTAACTTGTCTTTTACCATTTGTCTTTCAAAGTTTATCTTAATGTGCTTCTTTTATGAGTTTTATGTTCATATGCATGTATGTCGGTCAAAAGCTATACATAGCTTATGTTTTGTAAAATGTTATATATGTATACCGACAATAAATGAATTTTGATTTGATTTGATTTGATTTGATTTGATTTGATTTGATTTGATAGATAGATCGTGAGTGACCAACCGCATTTAAAATTTAAAAAAAAACTTCTTTTTATCTGCTTCAGCTGTATACTTTCTTTTCTTAATTAACACTATCAACTTTTTTTCAATTTTCACAAATACATGTACAATATTATTCTTATTCTCCTTTACACTTTTCTTTCATCCACACAGTCAGATTCAGAGCGTACACTGACGTATGAGATAATTGAGAAAGGAAGTATACAAGGACGTTCATTGCTTACCGATTCTCAAGGTTATTGTTACGTCATAAAGGTAAATGACTTCCCCTTATTTTATTATACTTTCATTTTTTGTTTTTTAATTCACGGTAATGAAAAAGCGGTTTTCAAAAACCATGTTATCTATTGATACTTAATTGTTTTGCTTTGTTTTTTTTTTAAATAAATGATAATAAATTATCACTTTTCAATAGCTTCAAAATTCTGCTTTGTAACCATGAATATCTTATTTGTAGGAACGACGACCTAAGTCCACGGTGTGGAGGTGTTCTGTAAGAAGTGCGAAGTTGACTTGTCCAGCACGTGTAACGCAAAAGGGTGAGACCTTCTCGGCGAATAGCAAAGACCACGTGCATGCTCCAGAACCGGAACAAGCCATTCGTGCGAAGGTCACAGCAAAGGTGTGTAATATTCTGAAATAATATCAATAATAATATTTCTAAAAGCAAATTAAAAATTGGTTATGAAAACAATGTACGTTTTTTTTTAAACGTGGTCAGTTTAAGTAAATTTTGGTGTTACCCTATAATAAAAAAGTATGCAATTGAATGCATGAAAATTAAATTTTTTATATAATTTGTGTGATTCTTATAAATGTTTACAAACTTTTTTTACAGGCGAAAGAGGTTGCCACTATCGTTCCTAACGCATCGGATGGTGTTGAAGAACTGGTGAACGTGGGTGAATTGCGAGCAAGGGTCGTCAACCGCTATCGGCAAGAGTTAAGACCAGATGAGCCTGTAGATATGGATTTTGAGGTATGCTGGGTTGTTTATATACTTCCCTATTTTGAACATAAAACATAATTTATATTCAATACTTGTATCATACTAAATAGCAAGAGGACTGTAACCTATACCTGCATCTCGACTCTATACAATTAGGAAATTTATATGACCGTTACAGATTATATAGACCACGTTGTATAAGAAGAACGCTATTTAGAAACAGTTTTTGACTGTATATCCCTATTTTGGTATATTTCTTTTTTCCAGTTAGATGAGAATGCTATCTCCCATGACTTCTATCGTAGAGAGGTTAAGGTTTGAAGACAGACGTCGCACCTTATTTTCGCGACGGACAACCAGCTAGATTTATTATTCTCAGGCCACTTCGCTCAGGCTACATTGACGGTTTACTGGTTTTAAGGCTAATTTTTAAATAATCATTTTAGTCAATTTTATACATTTCTGAAAATGATCATGAATTATACAGATTTACAGTCATTTAACTATAATTTGCAAGTTGAAATCCCTTTACATAAACCATCGTTGGTGCGAGCTCCATTTATTGATGTTTGTGTCAATCGCCGCATTCGTAGACGCGGAGGACTGTTCCAAAACCAAGTGCCGTTGGTTTTTTGTAAAGCCATGTCAGGAAGCAGCAGTCAAGAACTACGGCAGAAAGTGTTTAGAGTAAATAAATTTGATAAAAGCAGATATCATCGTTAAACTTTTGTTGTTGTTTTGTTTTTGTTAATTTTTATCTTTATTGTCTTGACTAAGCTAGTTTACATTTTAAAGCAAAAAATAAATTAATAAAAAAATGGGGGGACACGGGTTGACCAGAATCAACATCGCGTTTTGCGGCGCCGGGGTTGAACCAACTTTGGGGGGCCGGGGCAGCCTGCACTTTGGCGCTGGCGTTGACTTGTACCGTTTTGGGTCTTCGTAACCGCCGCCAACAGCCCAAGTTTATATTTCTATCAATTTTGCCATAGATAGAAAAATTTTAATTTTTTTTTTTTTTTTTTGCTCAATTGCCCATTTTTTTTTTAACTTTGAACTTTTCTATTTTCAAATTCTAAGGCGCCCTCTTTGAGAGGCATACAGAACACAACATATTAAACATGAACAAAAAGACCGTAATACAAAATTTGCAATTATTAACATGAACAAATGACATTGATACAAAATTTGCCTATGGCTAGATAAACAGAAAAATTATCAATCATTCAGACTAAATTTTGAGAAATATCAGACCAAAATTTGAGCCAATATCAGACACTGAGCCATTTCTAACACATAGGAAAATTTAGCCTTATATTAACATGAACAAATGCCTGATACAAATTTGCTATGACTAGATAAACAGCAAAAATTATCATATCAGACTAAATTTGAGCCAAAATCAGACCAAAATGTTGAGCCCAATATCAGAACACTTGAGCCATTTCTAACACATAAGGGTGATAAAAATACATTGTTAGCCCTTAAGAAACATAATATTTATTACTACACAAATACTTATTACTATCAAAAATGTAATACATATATTACACAAACCTCGTTTATATCATTTGAAAACAATGCCATTTACTTTTCCTGCCCCAATAAACAGCAAGCGTTTAAAAAAAAAGTTCGTTTTTTGTCTTACTATTCATTAGGCCAATGAAATTTTTCCCAAAGTTATTAGGATTACTAGTAAAATTTTAACTGAAATAAATTTACGCCCCCTCCTCCCCTTAAAAAAAAGCAACAAAAAAACGGGGAATAAAAATTCATCCCCTAAAGATTTTGTATTAAAATAAATGACATGTTCTTTCATCTCTCGGGATACCAAAAAAAATCCCCCCCTTTTTTATAGGTAATCTAGGGTTCGTCCCATCTAAATTTTTAAAATAGCATTAGAAAAATTTTGGTAACCCCAAAAGTACGGGAATTTTTTTTAAAAAAACAAAGGAATTTTTGTACTTTTCTGAAATTTAAAGGGCCCCTTTTACTGGACTCAGCCACAAAACTATCCCAAATTTTTTGTAAATATTATTTTTAAATTCAAAGTTTTAAAAAAATTTTCTTGAACAATTGCTGTAAAGAAGGGTATATTATACATCCTCCAGTAAATTTGACATACCCAGAGATCTCCAATAAATTGTGTCTACCATAATTTGATCCAAGTTAGTTTTACATTGTTATCATCACTATTACAATTTTTATAAGAAACATTATACAATATTAATGACATTTTTACTCAGGTTTAGCTTTAAAATTCTATTCCCCAGTAACATAAAATATGAAGCCTTAACATGAATAGAACAAAGTAAGCCCCCTAGGTTCACCATTATAGCCATAACAATTTAGGAGTGCCCTTTGTTTTAACCGAAGAATAAGTTTATAGAATTTTTTAACGTTTAAAATTATACGATCAAGTTCTAAAGATTTTCAAATTCCCCACACTTCACTTCCATATAACAAAATTGGGGGGCCTAACCATTTTATCAAACAAAATGTATTTGCATACTAATAGCCGGGGCTTCAGCCTTTCTAAGACTTTACTTTATTACAGAGAACATTGCCTTTTCTAGCTTGTTTCTTAACAATATTCTTTTGTTTTTAGTAAATTTAAACCATTATACGAAAACTTTTACGCCAAGATATGAAAAAGAGTCGACTACTTTCTAACATATTACCTTCAAAAAATGAAATTAGGAGCCATTACGAATACCACTACTTTTTACAAAAATACAACAATTTTTATGTTTTTCGCCAGGATTTTAACTTGGAAACTCACATATTACAGTAACTAACTCATTTGCCCCATCAAGTGCCTTTTGCAAATTCATCTGCCCAGTTTTCAGCAAAAAAATTAACAGTGTCCATCAGCATAAAGTAGTATGTACAATTTAAAAATAAACCCTCAACATCGAAGTTTAACCATGCAGAGTATCATTACTACTGAAGATAATGAAACTAGGACCACTTAAAATGTTGAGACAAAAACTGGCCCTTAAATTCATTCAAAAACAAAGAAAATAGGACAGCGCGCAAAGATTTTCACCTTGCCTAAACACCTGTATGACTTGTTTGAAAAAAAATCTTGGACTATTTTACTAAAGGAGTTCACCTGAACACAAGATTGTAGCTTTTTTAACATATCATATATTATTTTTATAACAATTTACCATCAACATTATTATCTTAACAATTTTTGCCAGAGTGCCAGTTCTATTAATGCTTATCAAAGGCCTTTCCTGTAGTCAATAAATGAACAATACAGTTTTTTTACCTTTAGCGACAAATATCAGCATCAATTAACATTTTTAAGGAAAAGATGTTTTATAGATCTGTTGTACTATAATTCTTTCTTGAATCCAGCTTGCTCTTCACACAATTATATTATTTTATTCTCTAAAAAAAATTTATTGAGTCTAGTATTTAAGAAACATTTCTGTAAAAAGTTTTAACCCAAAAAAGCTCAAAATTGTAATAAACCACGGCAATAATTGGCTGGAATCAAAACATCACCTTTCATTTCTTAAAATATATTGGCAACAATTAAAATTACCCTTACCTCCATACTTCAGAGAAATATTCCCGGAGCTCAAAATGATGGCTTAAACAAATAGCAAAAAATTTCATACCATAAATTATCTGGTGCATATTTCAAATACCGTTTTTAACACACATCAAATGAAAGATTGCAAGCTTTGTTGTTTTTTAAGTAAACCAATGGGTTCTTCTAATTTCCTCACTGTAAAAAGGGTTTGTCTAAATCTAATTTATTCGCCAGATACATTTGAAACATTTGAAATCATTCTGATGGGCGTCATTCGCTATATTTTCATTCAACTTACTAAAATGTTTATGGAACGCCCTTCAGAAAAAAAAAACCTCCCCAAAAAACAAAAAAAAAAAAAAAAAAAAAAAAAAAATAAAAAAACTAAAAAAAACATAAAAAAAAAAAAAAAAAAAAAAATAAAAAAAAAAAAAAAAAAAAAAAAAAAAAAAAAAAAAAAAAAAAAAATAAAAACTCCCCCAAAAAAAATAAAAAAAAAAAAAAAAAAACAAAAAAAAAAAAACCCCAAAATAAAAAAAAAAAACAAAAAAAAAAAACAAAAAAAAAAAAAAAAAATAAAAAAAAAAAAAAAAAAAAAAAAAAAAAAAAAAAAAAAAAAAAACAAAAAAAAACAAACCTGGCCAATATTATATTAAACAAAATTTCTTTTTATTGTTTACTGTATTTTTTTAACATGCTTTCCAATACGCCTTTGCGGTCTTTGTTTTTTCAGCCCTTTAATTTTTGTCAAAACAATTGCCCTCTGAAAAATTTTCCTTTAAACTTTTTAATAAGTTTCTTTCTTATATTTTTCTGCCCTAGTATTAACTAATATTTTCCTACTATTTCTTTTGGAAGGGTTTTTACGAAAAAAATATTTTAATACACTTTTGGGATAATCAGACCCGCAGCATCTTATACACTCACTATCAAACCCAAGTATTTGATGGCCTTCTTAGGTTTACTAATAACATGCCTTTTTACCTTTAAAACAAATTACAATTCTTTAGCAGCATCTGTTAAAATAGATGTTACCTTTCTCATTTAACTGATTAACAGAATCATCTGGCCTAAACGTTGATTTACCCCAAAAACATCCTTAAGTAACATCTAACAAGTTAGAAACAACATCCGGGCTCAAATTTATCTCTATAATCAGTTATTATGCCTTCGGCCGTTATCCATATAGGTTTACAGAAGAACTCATCGCTATTACTGTTAATATCAATACCTGCATCATCAGTAATATCATTATTTGGTTGGATTTACCCAAATTAAGACAAAAACTCTATAGCACAATGTACATCAATAATATTTTGGATCAAATTGTAATATGTCAAACCTAGTGATACAAGAAAACAATTTTCCCCTGACAACAGTAAGTAATCAATTAAACTGCCCCATCGCCTTTAATACAAGTATGTTTACCAATATACGCCCATCAGCTCCACACCTTCCATATAGGCGATAAAAATATTCAACGCCTTACATAGGTGAGTAAGTCTATAACCAAACTTATTGCATTTTCTATCCATGGAAAAACGTTCTATAGGAAAACCTAGATCGCTTAAATTATTTAACACCATTTGTTGCCACAGTAATATCATCAAAAATTATCATCGCGAGATATATTTTATCATAGACAGTGGAATCGGTAAGAACTCCCGATCTCGCATTGAGGTCACCCAACTATACAAAAAACTGACAATTAGCATATTTAACACTTAAATCAAGAATGGTAATTTCTAAACTATCAAACAAGTCAATA